GATATTTTGTGGTCGTTCTGGCCTTTTACATGTCGAGAGATAATTTCCTGTGGAGCCTTTTCGTGCTGTTTGTGGGCAGATGTCATTTGACTCTGATAATGTAGTTTGACGGTTGGTTGGTTGTCTTGTCTTGGTTTGCTGTCAGTGTCTTGTCATATGTCGTCGTATTTCATTTTCAATGTCAGAATTTGAAAAACCGCTGCTCACCAAGATCTGTCTGGTTCTTACCAATCCTGAATGCAGTCCTGTCAGATCAGAGCAGTGCTCAGATGCACGTCCAATGAATTACTTTATGACGCTAATTTTGCAGCGTCGAGGACACTCACTGTCAACATTTAAGCATCGTCTATTATTAGTCTGCTTTCGGCATACAGTAGTTTTGAATCGCTGTCCTTGTCCATCCACAGTCATGTCAACAAAGCGTATTATGTTTTGCACACTTAGTTCTTTTGTGAGTTTTAAGCCAGATTACTCTCCACATGTGTTTTGAGATGTTGCTCTTCAAATGTGTTTTTGAGGCGCTCTAGCTGGTCAATGTCCCTATCTTCCCGAAAGATATCGTCTACGTAGCGACAGTAACTGTCAGGTCTTATGTTGTCATTTTGTAGTGTGTCGGCTTCTACATATCCCAAAACGAGATTAGCAAAAAAGGTCCTCGAAATGAGCCCTTCGCAATACGCTCAATTTGGCAATACATTCGTTGATTAGGCCCGCGGAAAGGAACTTCCAACGTATGGGCCTAAGGAACTTCTGACGCTAGAACTTCCAACGTTAAATAATTGTTCAAGAAGGCGCTTTGATATTTTGAGAGGAGGAATTTCGGGATGATTGTAAATGCGGTCGAGGATGATTGATACCGTTCTTTCAACGGGCGCGTTTGTGAATAGATTTTCAACATCTAGAGAGGCTAGTAGACCCTTAGGTTGACGAGATCGCACTATATCAATAAACTCATCCGCTGACGATCAGCTGTAGGACATGGAAATATATGGCGACAGAAAAGCATTAAGACGTTTTGCAACTTTATAAGTTGGTGAAGGGATCTGTGAAATTATTGGACGAAGGGGGCTGTCATTTTTGTAAACAAAAAGTTTAAACTTGCTACTACATCTTTTTTTGTCTGTAAAACTTACAAAAATGGCGACCCCCTTCGCCCAATAATTTCACAGATTTCTTCGCCAACTTATAAAGTTACAAAACGTCTTAATGCTTTTCTGTCTCCATGTATTCCCATGTCCTACAGCTGATCGTCAATGGATGAGTTTATTAATATAGTGCGATCTCGCCAACCCAAGGGTCTACTAGCCTCTCTGGATGTTGAAAATCTATTCACAAACGTGCCCGTTGAAAGAACAGTATCAATCATCCTCGACCGCATTTACAATCATCCCGAAATTCCTCCTCTCAAAACATCAAAGCGCCTTCTTGAACAATTATTTAACGCCTATACGTTGGAAGTTCCTTTCCGCGGGCCCAATCAATGAATGTATTGCCAAATTGATCGTGTTGCAATGGGCTCACCTCGAGGACCTTTTTCGCTAATTTCTTTATGGGACATGTAGAAGACGACACACTACAAAATGACAACATAAGACCGGACAGTTACTGTCGCTATGTAAACGATATCTTTCGGGAAGATAGGGACATTGACCAGCTAGAGCGCCTCAAAAACACATTTGAAGAGCAACATCTCAAAGCACATGTGGAGAGCGATCTGGCTTAAAACTCACAAAAGAACTGAGTGTGCAAAACATAATACGCTTTGTTGACATGACTGTGGATGGACAAGGGCAGCGATTCAAAGCTACTGTATGCCGAAAGCAGACTTATAATAGACGGTGCTGAAATGTTGACAGTGAGTGTCCTCGACGCTGCAAAATTAGCGTCATAAAGTAATTCATTGGACGTGCATTTGAGCACTGCTCTGATCTGACAGGACTGCATTCAGGATTGGTATGAACCAGACAGATCTTGGTGAGCAGCGGTTTTTCAAATTCTGACATTGAAAACGAAATACCACATATGACAAGACACTTTGACAGCAAACCAAGACAAGACAACCAACCAACCGTCAAACTACATTATCAGAGTCAAATGACATCTGCCCACAAACAGCACGAAAAGGCTCCACAGGAAATTATCTCTCGACATGTAAAAGGCCAGAACGACCACAAAATATCCATTGTCATGTATTATCATAATAAGAAAATCTTTGACTTCCTTATGAGGAACAGCCCAGACAGACCCGGCAAACTAAAATGCACCAATGTGGTGTATCAATTCAAATGGAACATCACAGGCCGCAAACTTCGTTTCATACACTACATCGGCGTGATCGCGACACTCTCAAGACGTCTGACAATGCACTTACGCGACGGGGCACCTCTGGACCACATGCGACACGGACACGACAGGACATTGGCACGACAACAACTGCCAGACCACACTGACATTTTACCGACGTGCAATAGCAGAAGACGCCTTCAAATTTGGCGAAGTGTGTTTATTCACGATCCCTCCCCAGCCCTAAACAAACAACTTCTTGTACAACCCTTAACCCGTAGGTGGCGAGCGGGGAGCACTATTGATATGATTGTGACAATCTGTTTGTGTCTCTGTAGTGTTCCCATGATGAGCGTATTTGATATCTGCATCAAAGTGAAATGGGGTTCTGTCTTACTTCACTTACCCATGCTTCATCTTTGTTCTCCTTACCAAAAAATGCCTTTTAATAGTAGCGCACAATTTGTATCCTTTAAAACTCAAAAACTTATCGCTTGTTGTATTCAGCTTTCTCCGACAATGAGGTAGGATCTCGAAACGTAAGAATGTTCAGAGCGACGAATATATGAGTAATTTCGTACGAACCATCTTTAATCTAAACGACAACACCAAGTCAAAAGCCAGGGAACTAGAACGATGCGAATAAAAAAGAACGAACGAACGAACTAGAACCATATATATATATATATATATATATATATATATATATATATATATATATATATATATATATATAGATATATAGATATATAGATATAGATATAGATATAGATATAGATATAGATATATATATATTATATAGATATATATATAATATATATTATATATAGATCTAGATATTAGATCTTATCTGATATTAGATAATAGATATAGATATAGATATAAGAATATGATATAGATATGCTATAGATAGAGATAGAATAGATAGATAGATAGATGATAGATAGATAGATAGATAGATAGATAGATAGATAGATAGATAGATAGATAGATAGAGAGATAGATAGATAATAGATAGTTAGATAGATAGATAGATAGATGATAGGATAGAATATATGATATATTATATATGATAATCTATATCTATATCTATATCTATTATATATATATATTCTAATATATATTGATAAATTGGTAACTCATTCAAGCAAAACATTTGACACATTCAGCACATTTGCCAAACTCAACAGATAACTGTTGTGACATCAAGTTATGTCGGTCATTCCACGTTACATGGGTCGACTGCAGCAGCCGCCCAACTGGCATTTACGCACTGGTTTTCGACGTAGCTGCTCTCATTATAATCAGGCTCGGTGCACGACTGAATATAAAATCAATTATCACAGTACTCTAACCTGTTTACATGAATGCTCGTCAGCACCCAGTATGTGGATTGGCGGCCCGAGGTGGCCAATGTCGCCTTTTCAGCAGCCTATCTGTGCAACACAGCGAGCTACGGTGTCTCCCGCAGCGAAGCGGAGAATGCACTAGGAAAATAGATTCCAGCGAGAGATGCCGCGACGGCGGCAAGCAACACCGCGCGAACAATGGGAGCAACGGCAACAGTGTTTGTTCAATTGTTCAGAGGTCGTCAGATCAGACATGAGAACGGTTAAGTGTGCGCTTTGAACCACAGTCTTGTTGCCGACACTATTGCGGCAAATACGTGGCGATTAAACCTTTATTTGGGTTATTTTGATGATGTGAGGAAACCTGCCTGGAATAAAGGCGGCTCATCAATCAGATGTAGTTTGAAAAGACAGATTGATGGTGCCCAACGGGGCTCATCTGGGATGGTTATATGGGTTCTATCTGGACGTGTCCATGTGGATCTCGACTAAACGGCCCAAGTGGGTCCTAGCTGGGCAGACCAGGTTGGCCCATGTGGGTCCCAGTTTGACCCCACATGAGCCCAGGTGGGCTGCCCATGTGGGACCTAGTTGGCTGCTCGTGAGATGCCCACATGGGATCGGGGTGGGCAGTCTGGATGGGCCCCATACGGCTGCCCAATCTCGCACTGACATTGTTTCCAGTTGGACGTGTTGGCTGGATTAGCAGCGGGCGCGGGGCATTCGACTCATCTTACATCATCATGTGGTACAAACTTTAAGATCAAGAAAACGACTCCAAAATGCTAAAAAGTTATTGAAATCCCTTGATTCCGAGTTTTTTCCTGCACAAAACCTTTGTTTTGCACATCACTCGCCCCTTGCATTTACACTTTTTTGCACTTTTGTTGGACGACAGCGCGACGGAATAGGGCGATGCACTTTCGAGTGTTCACGTTCTCGATCTGTTAAAATTTACAAGTCATTTTTGAATTTTTGGTTGTCAACATCTGCTCACGCACTTCACATGTTTCACTGACCTATAACAGACTTGTATAGATCAATGATAAATTTGACAAAATGAGTATTCATGCGTACATTTTGATAACGATGTGCACGTAACCCAGGGCCCAACGGGGCTCTGGGTTACGTGCACAAGGACGCATCTGGAGTTTTTCCAACAAGTCGGCTATTTTGTGTCGAAGAACATAGTTTTTGTTTTGAAACGGGCAGGAGTAAGGTACGCATTTTAGCTTGCCAACGTTTCTTTTGAGTGTGACGACATTTTAGTACATCACCCTCATCGTCAGCTGTTTAATGAACAGAGCTGGGGTTGGTTATTTGCGTTCCTTGATCGTTTGGCTATGGGAGAAACGCGCGACGCCCGTGGTTGTGCGCTGGGCGCGTGTTGCGGACAGAGGGACGAGAAAGGGTGTGTGTGTGTCCGTGGGGAGTCAACAGGTATGTCCGTGGCTGTTTGTTGCTGTGGGCTCTGAAACGTAGCATTACAAATCATGGGACACCTCAGGTTTCTTTTGTCGCAACACGATAGAATTCCTCTGTTCCTGGTGCACCCTAGTGTTAAAACTTCATGAACACTTAATCGCTGGGTGCACGCAAACGCACGTAGCCCTTTAATTCAAGCATAATAATTTGAGTTGGTCTAGGGTTTCTGCGGCCGGGTTCACTTCAATGGTCATGAAATGACGGTGTTACATTGGTTTGGATGTCTGTCCTTGTTCTTTACTTTATTGTCTGAGCCCTGCGTGGCCTGTGCTCATATAGTCATATCATTACTGCTTTATTAGCTTATGTCATGCATTTCTTTCTTAACTGGTAGATCATTTCAAAATAAGATCATTGCATAGAACATAGGCATAGGAGCATAGGGTCCTTGAGTGCCACGGAACCCTCACTTTCAGAAAGTGATTGAGCTAAACTCTGTGGTGATCCATGGAAAGGATCAGTTTTGAATTTGAATTTTGCACCCTACTGTCGGATGTTTCTTCACTTTTCATGTAGAACATGTAAGGACTCTGGCATGGCAAGAGTTGTCAGTTAATTGACGATTCTTAACTTTTGTCTCGGCGATCATACAGACATATTAAATGTATCATGATTGATGGCTGTGTTACAGCCTATCCCAAGCCTTAGAGGGACTCCAGTTTAGCTCAAGTTACTACAGTGACTTAGCATACAATATCTAGCAGAATTAGTCATGGAGGCAATAACTTGCATTTGGTTGACATTGGCCACAAGTAATTTTAGGGGGCTGGTTAACCAAAATGCAGCTATGTTTTATTAATCAATGCAAATGTTTGGCTTAGATGGATAGCTTTTGTTGATATCCAGATCAGGTGAATGCATTTTGCTGATTATTTAAGCATATCTAATATTTTTCATGACATGCATTTCACCGAGTTAGTCTTTTTCTTTGGTTGGTTATAATTATCACATACATTTCAGATAGCATTCTAGAATTCCTGGATGCCCACTTACTGTTGCCTGCATATTTCAGTATATGAAACAAGTTTCTGGGTTAGACCAACAAAAAAGCAGTCACAGTTAGCCAGTAATTTCTAACTAGGTTAACCAATATCTTATCACTGTGCTCGAAGACAGAAGTGTTGTATATGAGACTATGATAGGACTATGATTTATCTTCACCTGTAAATCTGTAGCCCTTCTCCACCTTTCAGTGTGCATGCCTTCCTCAAAGCATGGTATTGGAGCAGGATAATCTTTCTATGCTGGAGCACCATCTCTCAAGAAGTGGATACTGTCTCTTAAATCATATAAGCATTATCACTATGCAGTTCACCACAAAGAGCAAATTAACTGATTAGTTGTATAATAATAATAGAATATAATCAAGTTGATATATTGTAAGTTATTTTTTTTAGTGGATATTATATGCGCTCATATATAATCATGTATGGATAGTTTTTTAGGATGTGACTGTCTGACATGCATTGGCCACTCCACAGACTAGTCAAGGAACAGCCACAGAGTGTTCTGGTGTTCATGTTTTTTTTACAGACATCAATTTGACGACACACAGGTGATTTGCTTCAAGAAATGTAACCCAACAGACATCCTCAGTGAGCAGAGCTAGAGCTCTGACTGGTCAGACATATCTAACAGCTCTGTGTGATGGGCCCCCATGTTGGGCCGACAGGAAACGGGAGGCGGCGCTCGTGCCGACAGCGGCGGCCCCGGTCGGCGGCGATGGTCCGATGACAGCTCTGTGTGACGGACCCCCATGTTGGGCCGACAGGAGGCGGGAGGCGGCGCTCGTGCCGACAGCGGCGGCCCCGGTCGGCGGCAATGGTCCGATGAGCCGCAGCGTCATGAACCTGACGGAGCTAACTGAGGCCGAGCGGCCGCCGTCGCCGGCCCGGCTGCCTTTCACCTCCGAGAAGCACCCGCGCTCCACGCTCAAGGAGCTGGCTGCGCTGCGCAAGCACCGCGAGCTCTGCGACGTCGTCCTGTTCGTCGGCGCGCGCAAGATCTTCGCACACAGGTGAAGGTGGCGGCTGACGCCGCTGTCGGTGCGGACGGGGTGGCGGCGCCGCGGGGCTGGCTGTGTCGGCGCACGCGTAATACGGGGTGAGCCAGCTCTGTTTGCGTCGCATGTTGGCAGTCTTCGATTATGCCCTTCAGCGCAAAGTGCGCTCTCTCTAAGCGTTCGGGCTTGAATGCTGCTTCCACCAAGACGAGTGCCACGTTCATCAACTCGCCGTCGATGGCGACGTCTGGCGGAGCGTCACACGCGAGCCCGCGGCGTGTCCATGCCGCAGGGTGATCTTGTCGGCGTGCAGTCCCTACTTCCACGCCATGTTCACCGGCGAGCTGGTGGAGTCGCGCCAGACCGAGGTCACCATCCGCGACATCGACGAGATGGCCATGGAGCTGCTTATTGACTTCTGCTACACCTCGCACATCGTGGTGGAGGAGTCCAACGTGCAGACGCTGCTGCCGGCCGGTCAGTGCCCGGGGCCGCTGTCTCGCGTCGAGGGCGCGAGGCGCTGAGGTGTGACGGATGGATCTCAGCTGGCGCGACGTGGTAGAACTTCGAGTCGCGTTGTGGGATGGTACGTGTTCTGACTTTGACGACGTGTGGACTCGGCTGGGCTGGAAGCTTTTATCCCGGGTATGGTCACGAAATGGTGTGTGACGGGGTCATGAGGGTATTTCAGCTTTGTACTCTTACCGCTTGCAGTGCCAGGGTCAGGCGTATGCAGTTCAACTCACCAGCTTTGTTACGCTTCTTTTGGTTAGAACTGTGAGTGCCGCCTAGGGACGGATATACCGAACACGTCAGCCGTGTTAGTCGTTAACGTCTCAGTTCAGTCGGCACCATGGTTGGCTCGACGGTTCCGCTGCACAGCGAGATCGTTTGATATATTATCACGCCAGCGTTTTAACCAAAGCACGTGGAGATGTAACAAGGGGCCAGTGGTGTTTTGCACCATCGAAAATGTGACTGTACAGAGAAGAGAGGCGCTATACCGCCTCCTTGTGACAGGGAAATATGATTTTAGGCTAGCGGCAATCTTGCCGTCAAGCAGTCTTGTTTTTGGGCCTTGACTTGGGCATGCTAGTGCAAGAAAGCTGCGTTTGTTATGGATGTTGCGTTTCATCCAGCCTTTTTCATCCAAGCGACAATCATTGGGTCATGACGGTTGCAGCTAAAAGATGTTTCGTGTGCTCACATCACTTCTCATTGATACGTGAGACGAGTGCAAGTGCTGCGTCCAAAACAAGACCCAGGCGTCCTTCCATTGTTGGTGGTTGTCCCCACTTGCGGTTGCTCGTCCCGGAGTGGCGCGTGGCGGGGGGGGGGGGGGGGAAGGGGAGAGAGAGGGGTCCAACTGTGGACCAACTCCGAAACCGCCGAGCTTCCACAGCCGCCAAGCTTTCGCCGGGCTCGCTTGGTCGGTCTGGACGGGGCTGCCACCCTTTTACGTGCATATGCGTGTGATGTTTTATTTTGTGCCGGCCGTTGCCGGCGGTTGCGGCGGCCGTCCGCCAGGGACAGCTGTGACGGCCCCGCGCGACTCGGCCGAGCCTTTCTACACGCAGCCTTCAGCTGCGCAGAGGGGGGGGGGGGGGGGGTAGGGGGAGGGGGCCTATCGCCGCACCTGATCGTGCCCACCACACCGCCGCCAGTTGTTCATGCGGGCCATTTCGCCACACTGCTCACCGCATTGTGGGCTTGTCGTCGGTCGTACCACCCTCCCCCTCCCCTCCCATGTGGTCCGTGCTGAGCTGTGAACGCCGGCCGTACCACCCTTGCACCTTTCCTACGCTGGGCCGTCGGAGGCGCACTTTGGAGCGCAGCGTCGGTGAGAAGTGCTTCAAACATCTGTGTGTGTGTGTGCGGGCGTGCGCGCGCGTGTGTGCGTGCGTGCGTGTGCGTGCGCGTGCGCGTGCGCGTGCATGTGCGCGTGCATGTGCGCGTGCGCGTGCGCGTGCCCCTCAGACAGTTTTCATCGCATCGCAGCCGTGCAGGATTCCCCGCGTGCCGTGCCGATCGGCTGACCCGTCGACGCCCGTGCGGGGTCGCGCACGCGACTCGGCGCCCCGGTGCCGGCGTGTCAGCGCCGTGCGCCGCCGTTGCAGCGTGCCTGCTGCAGCTGACCGAGATACAGGAGGTGTGCTGCGAGTTCCTGAAGCGCCAGCTCGACCCCACCAACTGCCTGGGGATCCGGGCGTTCGCCGACACGCACGCCTGCCGAGAGCTGCTGCGCATCGCCGACAAGTTCACCCAGCACAACTTCCAGGAGGTCAGGCGCCTGGAGACGGCGGTCGGCGCGGCTGGGACGTGCGGCGCTGGGGAGCTCTCGCGGTGGTTTGGGACAGACTCGTTCGCTTCGGTCGTATGTTGCGGGTGTTGCTCTGCTGTGGCGCAGCCGGACCTGTCGGTGGGGCTGATGTGTTGGTGAGGCCGGCTTCGTTGGAGGAATTGTAGGACAACGCCCGTGACTGATCTAGGTTGTGGTCGTTGCGTGCTTGCCATGACGGTTTCCGCTTGGCCGGGTGACCGGTGTGTGCGGCTGTTGCCGCCGGTCTCGGTCGCGCCGCCCGGCTGACGCAGCCTGGCGCGCCGCGCCCTCTCCAGGTGATGGAGAGCGAGGAGTTCCTGTTGCTGCCCGTCAACCAGCTGGTGGAGATCATCTCCTCAGACGAGCTGAACGTGCGCAACGAGGAGCAGGTGTACAGCGCCGTCATGTCCTGGGTCAAGTACAACATCTCGGAGCGGCGACACCACCTGCTGCAGGTGCGGCGATGGCGCCGATGGAGCACGCCGCCAGCCTCGTCGGCCGAGGCCGCAGAGGCTGGCGGCGCAGGGCGGGGCTTGTGACGTGGGAAGTACTCGTTGATGAGGTTATCATTGCTTTGTTTGCTGTGACAAGCAAAATGTCGACTTTTTGTGGAATCTAGTAAGGCTGTCATTCTAGATGAGAAGCAATAGTAAAAAGGGCCTGATTAGTAAATGTGTCAGGGGCGTTTGAGGTGGCTAGCTCACAATGCCACGAGCTATGTAATCGTCAATCTTACCTACTGGCCATGTCCGCCTGCGTTTGTGTAGTTCCATCACCCCCCGGCGACCGTTCCCGATCTCCGCCGGTCGACCGAAGCTGCCCGCCGGCTGACGTCCTTCCCTCTGCCGTCAGATTCTGCAGCACGTGCGCATGCCGCTGCTGAACCCCAAGTTCCTGGTGGGCACGGTGGGCTCCGACCTGCTCATCAAGTCGGACGAGGGCTGCCGAGACCTGGTGGACGAGGCCAAAAACTACCTGCTGCTGCCGCAGGAGCGGCCGCTCATGCAGGGGCCGCGCACCCGGCCCCGCAAGCCCATCAAACGCGGCGAGGTGCTGTTCGCAGGTGAGACGCAGCCTACAGCCCCGAGCTCATGGGGGAGAGGGAGGGGGCTGCTGGTCTGGGGACGCGGCCCGTCGGTCACAGCGCGGCAGGACGGGCTTTATTTGGAGAGTGTGTTGGTAGAGGACATATCTGCGACCCATGTCGGGAGGAGATCGCCGTTGTTGCGAGGTTTGTGGGAGATTTGGTCTGTTTGTTCCGTCTTTGTGAACGTTATCTGCATTCATCTGATTTCGTCATAGGAGAATGCAGTTTTTGTTATGACGTCTGGGCAGAGCACTGTCTGAAAGTTCTGGGGGCGGTTCGACAGTATGAGGGCACTGGGAGCAGGTCGACAGTAAGATGACCCTACCATAGAACTAGCACGTCCCCGTCCTGTCACTGACTGAGGTGCCCCTGAACTGTGCGCGGCGAGCCGACACTAACGGCGCTGCCCTGCACGCGCGGCAGTGGGCGGCTGGTGCAGCGGCGACGCCATCGCCTCGGTGGAGCAGTTCGACCCGCAGACCTGCGAGTGGCGCATGATGGCGCCCATGTCCAAGCGACGCTGCGGCGTGGGCGTGGCCGTGCTGGACGACCTGCTGTACGCCGTCGGCGGCCACGACGGCCACTCCTACCTCAACAGTATCGAGAGGTAATGGCAGGCGTGCCTCAGGGCCGAAGGCACTTCTCGGGCCTGCTTCTCTCGCCCGCGGTGTCCGCCGGAACGGCGCGGCTCGATGGCAGTGGCGCCTCGCAGTTGTGAGGATGCCGGTGCTGGCGAGGAGGGTGGGAACATCTCGCCATTTCTGGTATGTGTTCGGTCAGTGGTCGCCCCTGTCCACATCACAGTGCTATATAGAACGATATCTAGCCCTCTCCGCGTCAACTGGCACTCACCACCCGCGTCGACGAAGGTCTCGCTGGGCTCCGGGGCCGTTTGGAAGTGCCGTGCCTCAGCCGTCCGTCCGTCCGCCGCCGCCGCCAGGTATGACCCGCTGTCCAACCAGTGGTCGTCGGAGGTGGCTCCCACCTCCAGCTGCCGCACCTCGGTCGGCGTCGCCGTGCTCGACGGCTACCTGTACGCCGTCGGCGGCCAGGACGGCGTCTCCTGCCTCAACTTCGTCGAGCGGTGAGACCCGGCTCCGGCCGCGGCGCTGGGCGACGATGGTGCGCTCACCGTGGTGTCTGTGATGCGGAAGGGTGTCGAGCCGATCCGTGCGCCAGTTGTCTTGTGTGCTGTCAGAAAATTGATTAGAAACTATTATCAATCAATTCCCTGCCAGGGTCGCCTCTCTTCATCTGGCTGCTCGTCGCATTTGGCTGTGGGCGTATGGGCGAAAGGGAGGACACTATGTAGACATCTTCGGATGGTGTAGATAATCAGTTATTAGTTACAATCGCCATGTTCGACGGGAACGTAAATACCAGGCCCGAGCTGTGCAGTACATGGAGCGTGCGGCGGCAGTACTAAATGCAGCAGAGGCTCCAAATTTATACACAATGTGCTTAATGCTCCTGAGCCCAAGTGTAATTGCCGCTTCTTTCTGTCGGTTTCGAACTCGCCGTTCCTTGCTTCTGGACCACGCACTACCCATGTTCAGGTGCCCGGTTGTCGGTGGTCTTCCGAGATAATTGGTTGCTGTGCAATGGTGCGGTTTAATTTAGTCATCTTAAGCAGTGGTTAGTGTTTGCGGTTGTCAGCTGTGTGTGCCATAGTTGACTTCGTCTTCCACCATTTCGTAACCGAGTTGTTACCCGATCTGCAGCTATGACCCGAAGACTAACCGATGGAGCAAGGTCTCCAGCATGACCACGCGGCGGCTGGGGGTAGCCGTAGCCGTCCTGGGAGGCCTGCTGTACGCCGTCGGGGGTAGCGACGGCCAGAGCCCATTGAGTTCAGGTGAGGGTCTCGGAGTTTCCGCGGATCAGGGAATAGGTCCTCGGAGGTTCACGGAACTCAGATGATAGTCTCCGAGAGTCTGCCGAGCGGTCACTCCCAGAGCCCACGGGACCTGGTGGGGATCTGTGCCCGAGGCCACTGGGCTCGGTGAAGATCTCTTCCCGGGGCCACTGAGCAGCATCGAGTCCAGAGACCACCGAGGTCAGTTGGGTCTCTGGGAGTCTACAGGGCTCAGTTGAAAGTTCCTCGATGAGTCCGGCTCAGTCGAGATTCCCCCTCGCTCGCCAGCAGACTACGCCACGTGCGCGGTATGGTTGCACAGCTATCGGCCGTCGGCCGCGGCTGACGCGTCAGGTCGTCGGCTGCCGCGCTGGCCCCTGACCAGCGTGTGTGCCGGCCTGTGCGGACCTGCGGCGGTCGCCGGGCTCCGGCCGCCGCCGAGCCGGCGTGCCGGCCCCTCTAACGGTGCGCGCGCCGCTGCAGTCGAGTGCTTCGACCCGAAGACCAACCGCTGGACTATGGTGCCGCCCATGTCGACGAGGCGGAAGCACCTGGGCTGCGCCGTCTTCAACAACATGATCTACGCGGTGGGCGGCCGCGACGACTGCACCGAGCTCTCGTCGGCCGAGCGCTACAGCCCAGCCACCAAGCAGTGGAGCCCGATCGTAGCCATGAGCTCGCGCCGCAGTGGGGTCAGTGGAGCGGCGGTCGGCGGCGCCTGCCCCGGCCGCGCGCCAGGGTCGGGGCTCGGGCAGGGGGACGCCGGCCGGTCACAGAAGCGGCTGTCGGGATTGCATGGGTGGTGAGGTGGACCCTCTGCGAATCCGAATACTTTCCTGTTTTTTCGACGGTTGAGGTTAATAGTTAGACCTTTATTTTTCAATATTTTCATGCACAACTTTTCTTCTAAATTCAGGTAACGTTAATTGATGAACAGTATCACATGGATGACTGGTGTGAGAGTTTCTCGTTGTCTCGGCCCCGGGGTCCGCGTTGAGAGAGTAACATGACGCTCGCCGTGTGAGAAGTCCCGGCTCGCGAGACTGAGAGACTGAGGGAGCGAGACCGCGTCTGACCGCGCCGCACGCGCCTCCAGGTGGGCCTGGCAGTGGTCAACGGCCAGTTGTACGCCGTCGGCGGCTTCGACGGCACCACCTACCTGAAGACGATCGAGATGTACGACCCCGACGAAAACACGTGGCGCATCTGCGGCACCATGAACTATCGGCGGCTGGGCGGCGGCGTGGGCGTGGTCCGACTGCCGCCCAGCGAGAGCCAGCTGTGGTGACGGGCGTCGGCGCCAGCCGCCCGGTCCCGCTCGCCGCCGCCCGCCGGCCAGCCCCGCCGCGGCCGTTCGCTCCGCAAACCGCCGCCCTAGGCGCGCGGCTGCCGGCCGGCGGTGGAAACGACAGTAGGCCGGCGCGCTGACGTGGTGACGGGACCCCGGTGAAGGGACCCCGCGGCGTGTGGCGAGAACGGCGCCGGTCCCACTGGCCGGGGCTGGAGGGCGGCCGCGGCGGCGGCAGCTTCCGCGCGGCGCCCGGCCGTCCGCTCGCCTCGGACGAGAGCGGCCGAGGCCCGTCAACTGGGACCACTGACTGAAGTGCGGGCTGCCCCGGGGAACCTGCGACGCCGCCGGGGTCGGGGGCGGCCCGCAGTGGCTAGAGAGGTACAGACTGTCGGCCGACCACGCCGCTCTGCCGTCCCGCCGTCCGGGGTGTGCGTGGGACGCTCCCGCGCGTCCTCCAGGTGTCCGGCAGTCGCGGCTTCTGTCAGTCGAGCTTTAAGACGCATTAGAATGAGTTATTTTCGTGCTAGATTATGAACGGTGTGTGGGATGCGCGCTCTGTGAACTCAGTGTACTTAAATTAAATTGCGGAGGTGCTCTGCGTTCGTGCGCCATCAGCGTCCATTATCCCAACACACGTGATCCACACGAGCAGCGCGGAGCTCCCACCAAATCCTTCGCTTGGCTGCGTCTCAGTACCCCCTGATTCGCATCATACTCAGTGGGCGCCCATATTACCAACGCATGCCTGTCGGCCGCCATCTTTATGTCCTACCAATGAAGTCAAGCTCCGGCCATTGTGAACCGTTCGCGCGCCACATGCGTGGCCTGTCTGCCCGTCTCACCCGTCTGACCCGCCGTGGGCGCCGGGTGCGGTGGACGGAGCCGCGCATCAATTCCAGGGTGATATTTGCGCACGAGGCCGGGTCAGAACGTCGGGCAGGCTCATCTTCTTCACGTAATAAATGGCAGCATCCGATCAAGGCCTTCAGACAGCTGTGTTCACCCGCTGTCCCGGGCGGGTGCGAGACGCTGTCGCACGCGCCGCCGGCGCCGCCAAGCCCTGATGCGTTGCGACCTTAGCTGGACACAGGATGCGATTCCGGGAACAGTGGCGATGCCGCGGAATGAAATTAAGTGTCCATTGAACTTGGCGCCATTCTGTGTGGGCGGAATCAAGTGCGGTGGATGCCCGTTCGATGCTGGAAGACGAAGCGTTGCGCGGACTACTCACGCGTACTTTGGCTGTTCATTGTTCCGCCTGGCGAAGCGTGCTGGCACGATTTCCACCACCAATCGAGGACAGCCGTCTCAGCTTTTGTCTGCTAATGTTCGACGACCCTGGGCGACCCCCCCCCCTCCCCTTCCGCAGGGTGGTGCGCCTGCATCCACCAACCGGTGTCAGTAGCCCGTCGACGTTCATTTCCTGCTGTCGTGCGCCGTAACGTCGCCAACGCAGGGCAAGGATTGGGTCAATTGCTGAAACCGACCCCGCCCATCCACGAATCCGTCATTCGGTCGAACGCCCGTCGTTCCACCTTGGCAGACTCCGGAGCAAACGCCGAGGCGCTCTTGCCGTCAGCAGCGCGACGCATTCGCTGCCCGGTTGTGGATACTGCCAAGGCTAGACTATTGACCCCCACCACTGGTATCTGCGAACCTCACGAATTCGTTAATTTTTCAGCGGCTGCAGCCTGAGCGTTAGTGCCTCATCCTTCTGTCGGTTCCCAACCGTCCGTTCATGAACGGTTTCAAGCCAATCCTACCGAAGCACGAGCCGTAGCGTGCCGTTATCGGTCGGCGCTGATGAGTCACGTGACGTCTGATGAGGAGCATACCCCGTGATACCGTCGGGCGGAGACCGCGGACGCCCGGCGGACCTTGACCCGGCGTCGGCGTGGCCCGCTGCCGGCCACTACTGCGGAGTCCCGGCCAGAGCCGGCCCTGACACGGCTGCTCCCGTCACACGCCCACCCACCGGAAGTGATCGTGTATTGAACCGGCCCTCAGCCCGGATATGTCGGAATGTGACGACACCGAGCACACCGGCTAGACCAGATCACCACAGCTACCGGAACTGATCGTGTATTGAACCGGCCCTCAGCCCGGATATGTCGGAATGTGACGACACCGAACACACCGGCTAGATTAGAACACCACAGCTACCGGCGCAGTGACGGGCCCATGCGACCGGCGGCTCCGCCAGTCCGCGGCAACGGAGCGCCGCAGGTGCGGCGGCGGCGTCCGCACGCGCCCGCTCGCGGCGACAGCACCACCAGATGACTGACTGCGTGACGTCACGCCACCGAGGACGCTGTCCGGCGCGTGTCAGCGCGGCCGCGGGCCGGGCACCGGACCGAGCGCGCCCGCGAGTGACCGGGCCGGCGCAGGGAGGGCCGCGACCTCGCGCCAGCACCCGTTAGGAGCTGCACCACCTGAAAGCACTCGCCAAACACCGAAAATGTATACAGTACACTACAACGAAGAACACCAAAGGCGCAGCATTTCAGCAAGATAGAGTCACCGGTCCGTAACACGACGCGTAACCGCCCAAATCACCGCAATTGCTGGGGATAACCGATTTAATCATGCACTGGGACACGTCACACCGGACGCGCCGGTCGGGTACGGCTCGCGCGCGCCTGTCGATGGCGCGTGTCGCTGCACTGTCCGCACAGTATCTGACACGACGCGTGTGACGCAGCACTGTCCCTACCGCGTCCGACCGACCGATGGCGTGTGTCGCAGCCTCGTCGCCACCGCGCACGACTGATGGCGCTTGTGTTGCAGCACTGCCGCCACCGCGTCTGACTGATGGTGCGTATGTCGCAGCGCTGTCGCCGCCGCGTCTGAGCGACACGCCTGTGGTATGGCCGGACACGGCAACCTACAGCACCCGCCGCGCTACCACCGGAGCAACGCTAGGTCGAGCCGAAGCCTTTGTCGCGACTTCGCTACGGCTACGTGACTGAGCGACAAGCTGGAAACTAAGCGTGCGCGGCCGGCTGGTGAGCCTCTACAGACGGCAGCGCGCCCTGTCAGCGGCCGCACGCCTCTGGGCCGGCGGCCCGCTCGCCCCCGCCCCGTGAGGACGTGACCGGTCGCGGGTCGAGGTCGGCGGCGCGCCTGGGCGGCCGTCTCCAGCCGACCCCACGGCGACGGGTATCTGAGTCACGCCCGCGCTGGCGGCGCGTACCTGACTCACAGGTACCTGAGACACCGCTGGAGACGGCGCGCGTCACAGACTGCGATGACGGCCACGGCCAAGGTCGTACGACTCCAAGGTGCAGAACGAATAATAGAATACTTAGCCCCCGTTTCTTGACATCGGGTGGTAACATCATGGCAGCAGGGAGACACGGCAGAGAGTAGCACATGGGTTACAAAGTCCATCAATCGCTATTGAGACGTGGCCGCGCGAGGACGGCACCCCACAGACAATCCCATTGACTTCGGATATGCTGTCATCACTAGGCTAGTTGAGTTAACCATCGCCTATAAACAGGGCTACCCCATCAAATTAGAACGACCACCACGAATACCGCAGGTTCACGTGGCACCTGTGGGCCTCTCGTACCCAACAATGCCAGGGGAAGCTACCGGGCGGCGGCCCTCTCCAATAAATAGCCGTCAGCGCGCGACAACGCCGACGGGAGGCGCCAGGACAGGGCGCCGTCGGCGGCGGTGCCGCGCACCCGGTCCCGTCGGCCGGACGCCGGGCTCGCGGTGGCACAGGCGCCGCCCCGGCGTCCGGCCGGGGACGATCCGATTCTGTGTCCAGCCGGAGATAGGTCCGGGGACCGATGTCCGGTCCAGTCCGGTCCGGTGTCCAGCCGGAGACAGGTCCAGAGACCGGTGCCCGGTCCGGAGCGGCGCCCCTTACGATGTGGCCATTGGCTGCGCCTCGTTGACGATCGGGTTCTTGTCTGCCGCGTTGTCCATCATCTCCTTACGAGACGCCCTGCCGACGGTAGCGCGCGTGAGACGGCGGCACGCACACCGGACGGCCACGGGGCTGCGCTGGTCAGCCGGACATGGTGGCGGCACGGAGCCAGCGGGGAGAGCTCGTGTATGCCTGCGCGATACCTCATATTCAACGCTAACAGACAGAGGAGGAAAACAGGGATACAGACATAGTAGTAGTAGCAGTAGTAATAGAAGTCACGATGTGACAAAGAGACGACACGAAAAGTTGGACGGCAAAGCATGTACCCCATACACCTGTAGGGTACACCACGACGCATGGCGAGCCCGTTTTCACGGCCGACACGGGGTCACGTCCGCCACAGGAACGCAGCAGTGCGCCAAATCGGCCAATCAGTGGGCCGCGCGCCGTCTGATATCAGCTCTCGCGGCGTGCGGGTGGAGGACGCAGGCGATCCACGCGGTCGGCCGGCATGTGGCGTAGCACGCGACGCCGACAGACGGCCCGTGGGCCGCCAGGCGGCGCTAGTGCGGGCTCGGCGCGCCGCCCGTGGTGTTGCGGCCGTGTGCCGTGCAGTGACGTCACTGACTAGTCCTCCGTTCAGTCAACGAATTGAGACGAAGTGGATCGAAGCCCCGGTCTCACGTCACCAATCGGTGAACGGGTTCGAAGTGGCGAGTCTCAACGGCCTGCATAGCGGCGGTCATTCACAATCTGTCCGCGGCACAACTCATACGGTACACGGGTAGCGGCCACACGCAGAGCAAGTATTGTCCACCTCAGCAATTGTCGGCCCCTCCCCTGCCACTACCAACGCCAGCAGACATATGGCGTAGGGCCGCACGGTTCGCAGCAGCCGTCCGCCCGGGTGCAAACTAGGCAGCACGTCGCTAAATAAACAACGAATATGCAGCTACAGCACATCGGCGAGGGCCGTCCGTCCGGTGCGGCGCGGCATCCGAGCCAACGACAAACACATGCAAACATACAGCATCGCACGGGGCCGCTCGCGGCGACAGCGCCTGCGGAACACATACCAGTCACAACACACATCAGCGCCAGCTGGTCTGAGCCTGCGGCCGCGGCCCTGGAGCAGCGCCGGACGGCTGCCGCTGCCGGCTACGTCACCCCGGCACCGCGCGGCCATCTCCACCGACCGTGCGGCTACAGCTGGACCGCGACCGGCTCCGGGCATGCTCTCGCGTGCCGCCGTGGTCTTGGCCTCCAGCTGGCCTGGCACGTCCAGTCACGCGCCGTCTGCCCGCTGGCACCAGGCCGCGCTGGCGGCCGAGCCCTCAACGGCGCCAGTCACGGATACGGAGGGGCGTCCCAATCCCTGAGCGTGCGGTGACCCTCGCGACAGGTGCCGCCGCTTCCAGTCCCGTAAGCCCGCAGTCGTGTCAACGCAGAGACACGGCCTACGGGCCTGCGCCAACCAATAGCCACGACGGCATCGAGACCCAGGGCAGGGGCCTGTACTGCCCAACAACCATGACGGCATCGGGACCCAGGGCAGGGGCCTGTACTGCCCAACAATGACGACATCGAGACCCAGGGCAGGGGAATGTACTGCCCAACAACCATGACATCAAGACCCTGGGCAGGGGGCTGTACCTGCCCTACAACCATGACATCAAGACCCAGGGCAGGGGGTTGCACTGCCCTACACCCATGACATCAAGACCCTGGGCAGGGGGCTGTACTGCCCAACAACCATGACATCAAGACCCAGGGCAGGGGGTTGCACTGCCCAGCAATGACGACATCGAAACCCAGGGCACGGGGCTGTGCTCCACAACAATCGTGACGACATCAAGACCTAAGACACAGAGCTGTACTAGCCAACAACCATAACATCAAGACCCTAGGCACGGGGTTGTACTGACCAACAACCATCTCGACATCGTGACCCAGGGTATGGGCTATACTGCCCCAACAATCATGACGACATCGAGACCCAGAAAATGGGGCTGTACTGCCCACCAACCATGACAACATCGAGACCGGGACATGGGGCTGTACTGCCCCAGTCATGCCGATACCGAGACAAAACATACGAGCCTGTATGGCCTAACACTCATGCCGACTTCGGGACAAGGGGTACGAGCCAGCACCGCCTAACAGTCATGCCGACCCCGTGACACGGGGTGCGGGCCTGTACCGACGGGGAGCGTGGCGCCGCTACGGGTTGGCCTGCCACACGGCCGGGTCACTGAACAGCGCCTGCTTGGAGCTGGCAGCAGCAGCACCGCCACCGCCACCGCCGCCGCCGCCGCCAGTGCCGGCCCCGCCGCGGGCCGTGGCAAGCATGTCCTGCAGCTTGCCCCTGGTGTGGTGTGGGTCGGAGGTGAGGGCCGGCGCCGCACCGGCGGCACGGCCGACCGCCGCACAGCTCAGCTCTGGGCTGACCCGGACGCGTGGGGTGGGCGGGGTGCGACACGAAGCTGAGGGGATGCGATGGCAAGAGACGCCCCAGCCAGGAGGTGACGTCAGAATGACCTGTGGTCTGGTGAGCACCACACAAAACAGACCACTAATCCCTGATCACAGCGACACGGACGCGCCAGGCGGTGCTCTACCGCAGGCCAGGCGGCGGCACGGGCACATCGGAGTGACGCGGGGCGTCGGTCAGGAGGTCAGACAGGCGCGCCTGCTCCGGACACACGCCGACCAGACGGCCGGGCGACTCACTTTCTGCCGAGCGCCATCAGGCCGTTCAGCACCCCCGCCACGAAGATCAGGCCCGAGCCGATGATGATGGAGGCCGTGCCGCACATGAGCACTGCCGGGATGGCCAGTCTGGAACACAGCCGGAGCCGGCGCCGTCAAGCGAGCCGGCCGGGCACGAGGGACGGCACCGGAGCCGCCCGCGGGTCCCGGCCGACCGGATGCGGTCTCGTCGGCGACGCGGGCCACACACAAACACGGTATCCTGTAGAATATGAGTGTGATACAAGCATTCCACGTGGCGTATGTAACGGAACTTTGAATCGAATCGGCCCCATCAAAATAAGCATGTCTAGTGACATTTGTAACGGTGCGTCGGCATCTAATCACGGCCATAGTATGTCGAAGCCGTTATCTGAGGAGCGCTGATAGCAGCAGATTTCAAAGGCTATGCCGAAAACATCGATAAGGCTGACGACACGGACTCGGCGCACAAAAAGTGTCGTCACGGAGTCCAGCTGAATGAAGGGCACGTTGGCTCGGCAGAGGGTTCGTTATCAACGCGTCACAGATCACATTTCACTTCGGCGAGATTGTAAAGCGCACGGCGTGCGGACACTAACCCAATGTACAGCCCGCCCTTGAAGAAGGGCGACAACGTATCCATTTTCTTGCTCGCGGTCTGCACGAAGTCGATGAACATGCAGAGGAACGGCGCCTCCAGCACCGTCACCACGAAGCCGGCCATCCTGCGGCGGCGGTCGCAGGTTGGCGTCAGTCGGAGGCTGGCCCGTCTCAGCCTCTCCCAGCTGGGGCGAGGAAGGGCACGCCCCAGCGACCTCGCCCCCGCCTGCCACTGTCGTGTTTGCGCAGGCCAGCGCAGCCCACACCGAACCAGTGTCACCATAGTGTGCATGTGCCACAGGACGAACGTGCCGACGTCGTCCGGGCTAAGCCCTCTTTATAACAAAACGAAATGCATCTGTAAATCGTCTTTAGCTCCCAGTTGTGCCGTCGAGCTCTCGAGCTCTCGACGGAGAGCTAGCGACGGAGAGCTACCGACGGAGAGCTACCGACGGAGAGCCCCGGCACACGGAGACATGCGCGCCGCCCGCGCCCGGCCGGACCACCACTCACATCTGCCAGATGCCAGCCACCAGGTACAGCGGCGTTAGCGTGAAACAGTTGAAGGCGCCCAGGCCGATGGCGACTGAAACGGAGGGTCGCACGCGTCACCGGCCGTCGGCGCCGCACCGGCGTGCCGTGTGGCGGAGAGTCGGCGCGCGCCAGCACTAACGGCAGGGACGGCCAGCGCGGCCGTCCAGCTCTAGCGGTGGGCGCCGCCCCCAGGGCCGGCGAATCAGCCAAAAGGCGGGCCATGGAGATCAGCTTCGAATGTGATGCTCCCAACGTTAAGGCACGATCACCCTCTCTGAAGCGACTTTGACATAGCGATTGAAGTGATTTTGACACGAGCTTCACCTCCGGCGCCGCGGTGGAGAATACCGCGGCCGGAGGTGCCTCGCGCGGCCGGCGCGGCACTCACTCAGTCCGCCGATGGCCCCCACGCCCTTGGAGGCGTACTTCATCCACCAAGGCGCCTGCGGGGCGGCGGCCGCGTCGGGCGCCGGCTGCTGCTGCTGCTGCTGCTGCGGCGGCGGCGGCTGGGCCGAGTTCATCATGGCTGTGGCACAACACACAGGGACGCGCCGTCAGGGCGCGAGCAAACGCGACGACGGCGCGGCACGAACGGCGTCGCAGGCACGAGTCCGCCCGCGTCAGAAACCGGCCAGGGCCATGCCATCACTGGAAACGCGACTATCTTAAAACTTCAAGTGAAAAGACGTTTGCATTGAGCACCTGTAAGCATTTGCATTCAGCAGCATCAAAATCTGTCATCTACCTAGTGGGTTTTGCTCTTGCATCAGGTGTTGCAGATTACACCAGAACAACATTGTAGGGCATGCCCTTGGGAAATTGTCAGCGATAAGATCGACTGGACATTAACAAAGCTGATACCTTGGGAATATTTTAGCAAGACAGTGTCATGAAGACCGAGAGGCAGTGAAACTTGCCATTTCTTCCACCGTGAAAATTACAAAATATATTAACAGATACATATATCTACCCAAAAATGTATAATATGCCAATGACAGTCACAGCTGAACACCTCACATACATGCTGGTTTTTCAAATTATGGTTGGCAACATCAAAATACTCATGGGCAGGCACTACAGCATAAGATATTGTCTTACTTGATCTAACAATCCAGTCTAGTTGTATCACTTCTATGAAGCATGCATAAGTTTATTCATGCCATTGTGGGTAAATGCCAGAAACACCATCAATTTATTAAAGACACCACAAAATGAATGTGGACCATAAACTGTGCACTTCATGCTAACTGCACTTATTGCACACCAGTTGCTTATCACCAGAGCATGACCTCAGCAGAAGATGCTTCACTGAGGAAGTGTCATTTGTTCTCTAATTGGCACTGGTTCATTAGCTGGCTTCAGGCCAGACCAGGGCCATAAAACATTTTGATATACATTGGGATGGGTACCACTCAGGATATGGTATGTCTGGATATGGGGGGGGGGGGGGCATGCCCTCCAAACTGTACACAAGAGGACTACTACAGCTGACAAAATAGCTGAATGCGACATTTATGATGTTCATGAAAATGGATGAATGTGACTGATATTTAAAATTTTGTGACTGATCAATGTCACTGTGCCCTATTTTTTATATTTGCAGCATCCTTCTGCCTCAGGATTACATGTTGATATCTCAAAGAACCATCTTTCATGGTATTTTACAGGCTCATAAATTGTCAAAATCACATCAAATTTTTAAAATTAAGGGAGCAGTCACACTGGCCATCACCAATTAATCATTGCTAACAAAGTCACAGCAGAACATTGCTGGCAGGCACATCCAGGAGTATGTATTGCAATATCCTAACAGCTCATGCATAGGCATCTCTAGTTGCAAACATGTCTCATGGTGTACTGCTGGATTTACTTATTAGCACATCAGACTACACTAGCCATGACTGGAGATAGAAATCAGATTATGGTGACAGGGAAATGTGATATGACTGGGAAATGTAGTAGGATGAAACTTGTATACCTGCAGACATCACTGCTGATTTCTCATGCACCTACAGCTAACAAAGTGCTGGAAAGCCAGGCTGTTTGAGAAACGGTTAACTAAATACTCTATAAGCATGCAACAGCTACCACCTTGTCCTGCCTGCTTCATGACCCAGGACTGGGCCTCGGGTGGCAGCTGCTGAGCTGATTGCATCATGACTGGAAAAAAATCATCTGTTTGCTTTTTTGGCTAGGTACATCTGAATGATGAGGGTAAGGGTAAGCCTGCAAAAAAATCCATTCA